ATAGTAATTCCACTGTGTTCAGAGCTGAAAGCTTACATCTGGGTGCCAAATTCCTGCAACCAGACATGATAAATAATACCGGGTGGCACTGTCCCGTCTGACCAGGCAGTACCAGACAGGCGAGGCTCTACTCCCGTGTGATTCCTTCTCCGTTAGTTTTGACGGTGTTTGGTGAGCTTTAAGCTCCCATTTCTTATCAAAGTTGAAAGCTGAACTAAAAGGTTTTGCAATGCACCTGTTCCTGTCTATCTTGTAGGTTACTGTGCCAAATGGTGTTGAATAGCAATGTGTTTTGCTTTGTTTTGCTTTGTTTGAAAAAAATTAGCTCAACAAAGTTTAGGCGATCGATTGAGGTGTGTTCCTAACATTTCTGTTACTTGCACATCTTGCTGAAGAAACAGAAGGAAAAAGAAACACGGGGAGAAAACAGGTGGCACTGATCCTATGTGGAAAGTGTTCTATGTAAATGCAAGTTGTTGTTGTGAATGAAGGACTTAGTGACGCTACCAACTTGAAGAGTGTTCTATAAATGAAAGTTGTTGTTGTAATCAGGTCCCGTTTTGCCTCCTTTCTCTTGTGTTATCACTAATGGTCGATAGAAGTCTAAAAATATGTGTCCCCAAATGTTTTCGAACAAGTTCACAAACTTTGAGCTTCCCCATGTTTTTCCTGCGGCCCCTCATGATACCTCTCATGCAGATCTACTTCACACAATGCTCTCAGAAGTGAACGTTTACAGGATTTGATGGAGAGCAATAAATAATCCTTGCATTTGATATAGAGCCTTATCACGTCTTCGAGATGTCTCAAAGCGCTTCACAGCTGTAAAGTGAATTGACTGTGGGCGAAATGCGGCAGCCAATTGCGCACAGCAGATAACTGATTACAGGCCTAACACTTTAAATATTACCTCGCAGTTGAAAAAAGTCGGTCCAATGGTAAAACTGGTACAGTTAACATCCCTTATAATAAAATGTTATTTTGAACAATGCAATTGTATTGTAGAACATGGTCCTATAGAACAACAGGCTTAATATTTCTGAGTTTCAGTTTTAATACTCTTTCTCTCTCGCCACCTTTCTATGTTTGGCTGTTTCTGATGCCTTGCAAAGAAGTCTGTTGCAGAGGCATTGATGTGTCATAAAGTGACTTGAAAGGCAGATTGCATTTGCCTTGATAAATTTTCTGAAAACATGCATTGGAAGATTTTCTCTGCAGGTTGAAAGTATTTTATTGAGTGCAAGCTTTGCTGTGGTAAACACCAGAATTTCAGTTTCAAGATCTTTCTCTTTGACTGTGTCTTCAGTTACCATCTCACCCCCACCCCCTTGCCCTCAACCCCTGTTGATTCCAACGCCTAGCTCGGCCAACCCTTGACTGTCCAGTGTCTTGGAATGTCCTCCTGACATGAAAAGCGCTATTTAAATACAATGTATTGTTTCGTTGAATATTTTGCTGGATTTTTCATTAATGCAAATTTATCCTACTGGTGGCAATCTAACTTGAAATTGGATGGAGGGTGGCTGGGAGTCGGGTGGGGGGAGGAGGGTGATCAAAAGCACTGTATAACACTAACATTTTTTTAAACTAAAGAAAATGGCTGGGGGAATATGTAATGGATTGAAGAGCAGGACTGATTCGTGAAATCAGTTTGACCTAAGTAAACTAACAAGGATCCAGAGCATGCAAACTCAATTTGTAGGATCAGATCAACTGCTCTACATGTAAAAAAAATGTTATGCAGAGAATTGAATGACATTGAAACAATTGCAGATGGAGTGCGGTGAAACAGGAAATTCTTAGAAGTTTAAGCGTTGAGGGGTTTAATTTTTGTTTGTGAAGAGTTGCATTTTAACTTACTCTCCGCAGACTGCAGTTTGGAATCATGGCTGATCAAGCTTCAAAATCTGCACCCGTGATCTGAGCCGGTTTCTGAGAAGTGATCATGATAGGATTCTGACTTTTGTTCCTTCCCAGGGTAAGAGGCATCTGATCTCCTGAAACCTCTTGGTTTGGATAGTCTTAAGCATGGTGATGGGTTTCCACATGTGTCAGACACGCTGACCAAAAAAATATTCCAGCCCTGTCTCACAGCAGGACAGTTGAGATTGAATACTCGGATAGGCACAGAGGATCAAAGCTGTGCCCTCACTGCTCTGCAGCATAACTTTCCCTATAATTAGCTGTAACAACGCAATGTCCTTTCATTACAATTTTTCTGGTAACTTGTGTGAAACAGTTCCGCGAATTAAGAAGCGCTTTTTGACTCTTTTTACATTACATTTGGCATCTGCTTAATGATTGGTTCAATATATACTGAAAGCATCTTGTTTGAGGTTTGTTATTAGCAAGGAATAAAATGTTGTAATATTATTATTAAAAAGTTCAATGTTTAGAAAACCGAACCAATCTCTTTGTATTCCGAGGGTTAGTTTTATTGCTTGTTATATTGTTTTTCTGCAGGACTTGACCTCCTCACAGAAAATAAAAGGTGCAAATTCTGATACGTGATGTGTTAATTTGTCACTTGTGATGGTGACGATGATGATAATAATAATTATCCTTGCATTTGATAGAGCGCCTTACCATTTCATTGCGACATCTCAAAGCACTTCACAGGATTTTACTGTGAAGTGGATTGACTGTATTTTGTGGGTGAAACACGGTAGCTAGTTTGCATACAACATAATGCTTGGAATCGCACAGTCTAAATTGATGCTCCAATACAATGCTATATGATTCTAAGTCCCAACGTGGGACTTCAACCCACAACCTTCTGACTTTGAGGTGAGAATGCTACCGCTGTGCCAGGCTGACACACAATATGATAATTAACACACCACATCTCATATTTGCAATTTCCACCGAATGTTCAAACTGCGAGCAGATTCGGAGAACAGTGGATAGCAAACAGTGGAACGTTTATTTGAAATCAAACACCATCATTCAACATCAGATATTGAATTCCTGTAGGTAGCCTATTAAGTTAAAGGAGAAACTTACAACCAAGACATTTCGATATTAATACTGATGTTATAAATTGAAATTGAAAAATCCTAATTGAAACGAGACCCAAGAGTAAAGTAGACTCGCAACTTTGTGGCACCAATTTGCTTGGGTGGCAGGAAATACATTTGTGCTGATGAGAAGAGAATTTCTCCCAGTGCCATGACCAACAATACCCCAGATAAAATTAATCCATTGGGTTCCGTATTTGCCTACAGAATACACAGTCACTGCACTTTACATTAAATCCTGTAAATGCGCTTAGAGACGTTCTCCTGACACGAAATGGGTGAAATCAAATGCAAGGATTATTATTAAAATATTTCCTTACGTAGCAAAGTCTGATCTTCAATATGCCGTCAGGGGAAACATCGGATGGAAGTGAGGTATTTCCCCATTGTGGGGTAAAGAAAAATCATAGGATGAGTCAATCTAGCTCAGCAGATATTTTACAGATCAATACTGACAGACACTTTGGGTCATTAACTGCTACATTAAAATAACAATTGCTGAAGTTGCAATTATTTTTAATAAGCTGACTATATCGTTCCTAAGTAATGATGACCCCAATGAATAATGAGGCCGTTTTGAACATTTCCTGGAAAAATAAAGCTATGCTTATTGTAGGTGCCAAAAGAGATCATTATAATTATCAATTTATTAAGTATCTAAAATTAGCGCAATGTTATTGAACTGTATTACATTAGAAATGGTTACTGATTCTTACATTGCCATAAATTATAATTATTCTGTTAATACTAATAAAGACTAAATGTCTGTCTATGTGTCTGTCCGCCAATAACGTAATGTTGACTTACAGACACGTACCTCATCGGAAAGGTCTTGTATGGGGGATATAAAGTATAATAACATAATATAAAGTATAATAATACTGAAATCTACATTCATTATTGAGTCCTTTGGTTGCAAGTGGAGCTGCAACGGGTACAGCTAGTTCTTATATAAACACAGAAATCGCTGGGAATACGCAGCAGGTCAGGCAGCATTTATGGAGAGAGGAAAGTGAGCTAACTTTTCAGGTCGAAGACTTTTCGCCATTTAAAACAAAAAAAAATCTAAATGTTTAAAAAACAAAGGTCTGACGAAAGGTCCGTCGACCTGAAACGTTGAGACGCAGTTTCCTCTCTCCATAGAGGCTGCCCGACCCGTTCGTTGTGTGTTTTTATTGCAGATTTCCAGCGTCTGCAGTACTTTGCCTATTATTCTTATTCTTTTATTGTCGCGGCTGTCTGTGGGGGGGGGGGGCGCAATCGGCTGCCGCGTTTGGACCGCAAAATACACAGTCAGTTCACTTCCCGGTGTATCGCGCTCCCGCTTCGAGAAGCCTCGAAGACGCGATAAGGGGCTGCATCAAACGCAAGGATTATTATTATTATTTATTATTATTATTAGTCTGTGCAGAAGTGTGTGTGTGTGGTGGTGGGGGGGGTGGGGCAGAGAGGGAGAGAGAGGGGGAGGGGGAGAGGTGGGGGGGGGGGTGGCGCGGTGGCTGACGGGAGTTGTAGTCCCGCCCCCGCTTCAGCCCCCACGCGGGGCGGGAGGGGGCGGGGCTGACTACACCTCCCGGCAGGCCCCGCGCGTGACCCTAGCAACCGCTCGGCCCTGTCCGCGAGAGGAGCAGCCGCTCGTCTCCCCTCCGGCAACCGCCGTTGCCGCCTTTTGACGCCGCCTGTTTCCACCTCCCTCTCCCCCTCTCCCTCTGGTACACAAGTGTGTGAGGAGAAAACGGGAGTCTTTTTTTTTTTGGGGGGGGGGGGGGGGGGACAGTTGTTCCGAAGGAGGAAAGGAAAAGGGAGGGAGGAGGTGGGGGGGTGGCGTTTTTTTTTAAAAATATATATTTATTTTAAAAATAACTATCATAGAGTTTTTTCTCTCTCGTCGTCCCGTCCCCCCCCCACCTCCTCCCCCACTCATTTTTTTTTAATATATAAAAAAAAACACCTCAAAAAAAAAACTTTTTTTTATTCCGGGGAAGGGGTGGTGGGGAGGAGGAGGAGGAGGCGGTGGGGGTCGAACTGGATTGAAAAGTAGGCCGAATGTTCAGGAATGGCTGAAGAGAACAACGAGGGTCACACTCGCGGGAACCGTAAACTAAGGGAGAGCCGAGAGGCTGCTGTGGCCGGAGAAGGGGGTGAGGAAGAAGAGGAGGAGGAGGAGGAAGAAGAAGGGGAGGAAGAAGAAGACGAAGAAGAAGAGGAAGGGGCTCTGGGCTGGAGGAAGGCCTTGCAGCAGTGCGACCTGATCCAGAACATGATCGACATCAGCATCTCCAGCCTCGAGGGGCTGAGGACCAAGTGCGCCGCTTCCAACGACCTGACACAGCAGGAAATCAGGATGCTGGAGGTACGGGTTCACGCTCCCTCCATCCCTTCCCTTCCCTCCACTCGCTCTCTCTCTCTCTCCCTCTCTCCATCCCTTCCCTCCCTCCACTCGCTCTCTCTCTCTCTCTCTCCCCCTCTCTCCATCCCTTCCCTCCACTCGCTCTCTCTCTCTCTCTCCATCCCTTCCCTGCACGCGCTCTCCCTCTCTCCATCCCTTCCCTTCACTCCTCTCTCCATCCCTTGCCTCCACTCTCTCTCTCCTTCCTCCATCCCCTCCTCCTCTCTCCTCTCTCCATCCCTTCCCTCCACTCGCTCTCTCTCCCTCTCTCCATCCCTTCCCTTTACTCTCTCTCCATCCCTTGCCTCCACTCTCTCTCTCTCTCTCCATCCCCTCCCTCCACTCTCTCTCTCCATCGCTTCCCTCCACTCGCTCTCTCGCTCTCCATCCCTTCCCTCCACTCTCTCTTTCCCTTCATCCCTTACACTCTCTCTCTCTCCCTCCATTGCCTCCCTCCATCCCTTCCCTCCACTCGCTCTCTCTCTCCATCCCTTCCCTCCACTCTCTCTCCCTCCATACCTTCCCTCCTCTCTCTCTCTCCCTTCATCCCTTCCTTACACTCTCTTTCTCCTTCCATCTCTTCCTTACACACTCTCTCCATCCCTTCCCACTACTCTATACTTCACTCTCCTTTTTTATGTGTTACATTCCCCCCTCCACACACATACACAGTGCGTACTGGATATTCACGAGGAAATGTGTATGTGTGTGGTGTGTGTGTGTATATGGGGGTATATAGGATGTAAAGGAAAAAACCGCAGGGCTCCGACTGAGGGAGAAAAAAGAGGGAGAGAGGAGCATTGGGGGTTGAGGAAAGAAGGAAAGGTGCAGTTAAAATATCTGCAGAGTCCTGACTGACATGACACACGGAAACTTGGGCAAAGGATGAAAAGAGCAAAATTGGGTGGCGGTGGGCAAAGCTTCGAAAGCTCTGAGCTGCAGCTTTTTGGTTTAAATCATCTCCGTCTGTTTCTATAATGTGCTTAGTCTCTGCAGGATTGTGTTTTGCTATAATGTATAAGAGAATTTATATTTCCAGACATAATGCAGGTAACTCATACAGGCATAATATTCAACCCTCACTCACTTATTCCCCCTACCACCACCACCAATTTGCATCACCCAACCAATTCTACCAATTACTTGTATAAATATTGTATCCAGCGCCTTGGGACGTCCCCCCGACGTGAAAGACGTTATACTAATGTAATTTTGTTGTTGTTGATGCACTGTCATCCGCTCCCTTGACAGATGTGCTGTTTCAGGTGCATTTTCGCCTGTGGCAAAGTGCATTCACATTATATCATGAGCGAATTGGTGCAAGGGTATTACCGAACAGTTTCAGTGCTGTTTTACCCTCTTCCCCCCCCTCCCCCCCCACCACCACACTCCTTCCAACTCTCCTCTGTTTATTAATAAACTGTGGCATTGCTTTATCTCGTAAAAGGAACAGTTTCGCACCGCGTCAGGTGCATTAGCTTTACAGTGTGTGTGTTTTTTTTAGTAGTTGTGGTCTCCATAAACTTCCAAAAGTGAAACCGCGAATGGCTGAAAGGAGGAGGTTCCCGACCTCAAGAAAGAAATGTTGTAATTTGGACTTTTACCCACGATTAGTCTGTAATGGCATTGCTCCCCGTTTGGTTATTTTTTTGGGGGGGGACTGAAAGGACCACTGACGTTTAACTCTCTGTCCCCCTCGCTGCGTAAGTACTCCGAGAAAGCACTTCGTTTAAACCCGGCGTCTCGCTGCACACGAGTGATACGATATTTTTTGTGTAAAGGTCACCGTTTCCCCAGATTTCTCTCCCCCCGCCCTCTCACTGAGAGTGATCTTAGACAGTTGCGATGTGTCAGCAGTTTTCCTGCCGCCGCCCTGTAAACGTTTTTGAAACTGCTCACCTTTTGTAATAAACCCGTTCAGAGCTTTTAATGATGGGGCTTCGTCGGATAAGCGAAGGGAGGAAAATCGGGAGTTTGCTCCGAACTGCTCCACTTTCTTTTTTTTTTGGAAAAAAAACAGTGCCACTTCTGTTGAATGTGCACGATTGGCAAAACTTTTTTTTCTCTCTCTCTGGAGACTCTCAGGCCTGTGTTGAACAGACACGACAACGATGAGATGATCAGCATAATCTCCATAAATGGGGGGGGGGGGGGCAGAGGAGACTTTTGGGGGGCTATGTTATGAACTTGGTACCGATACGTGTTGCTGTGCATTGCTGTCCGGTTGGTTCGCTAATTACAGCTCAGGGTTGAAACAATGGTTTTGATTTTGAGTAAAGGGATCGCTCGAGAGGGGTTTTGTTCCCGTTTATTATTCTATGGATTGTGGGTGTTAAGAGGGATGAAGACCCCGGAGAGTACTGGGAAGGCGGTAATAGTTTTTATGCAGTTGTGATGTGGTGCTGTATTGGTGTTGCGGCTGTTTCTAAAAATAGAACAGACTAACTCCTCCTCATTTAGTGAACAACACGATCAGAATATGCCGACGCACAGACACAAAGGCTGATTTAATATTTCCAAACGTCTCTGTTTGGCATTACAGCCAAACAGGATTCAGCAAAGAAATATTCTGCTTTAATACGCGTCACTGAACCATTCTATTTCTTAATACTGTATATTTTTTTTAAAAAACAAATTGCTGTTTTAGCAAGAAACATATTTTGGATTAAAAATTAGATTTTTTTTGTGCAAGTGGAGTTTTGTTTTGCATTTAAATTTCCCATTTGCTTCTTGTGTTATACATGAACTACTAATTTATATACTTTAATCTCTGCTTTGCATATATATTGTGATTGAGTTAAATGTGTTAGTATATGGAATGTGCGAGAACAGGTTAGGGGAGCTGTTCCTGTTGTACTGAATACTCTGGGTGGGATTTGATGAACAATGATATTCTTGCTTTGGGTTTTTAAACTTTTTGTGTTTGTTCATGCTCCCACATTTATTCACTTGTACGAGTTAGGTGCAACAATAGGGTTGATGTGGCATCAAGAGGTATTTAAGTTGGGTCGTTTCAGTGGCAGTGAGAAAGCTTCTCTCATGGTAAATTCACTTTATATCAACACAGATTGTGGCACCTGTTATTCTGTGATAGCTTCTCTATTCTACTGCAGGCTGCCTCTTCAGTTTTGTGCCTGTCTACAAAAGAACAACAAATAAAGATATTTTCTTATTTGTAAATGGAAATGATTATTTTCAGAAGTCTGGGAGAGAAAAGAATGTACAGTTGAATATTGGCACAGCATTTTTGTGCAGTAGTGTGTTGTGTTACAGTGTTATAGGCATTATAATGTTTGTGCAAGAAAGTGAGCATTACCCCAAAGTTATTTTGATCATACAGTGACTAAATGCTCTGAAGATTGTGGTATTCAGTCCTTCAAGTAAAAGGTTTGGGGTTCAATCCTTGGTCTGTTTTGATTTGTCCACCTGGCTTAGTTAGTAGGACTCTTGCCTCTGAGTCAGAAGGTTGTGGGTTCAAGCCATACACGCGCATTTTTAACTCTTAGTCGAGGCTGATGCTCCAGTTCAGTGCTGGGGGAATGCCTCATTGTTGAAGATGCTGTCCTTCAGACCAGATGTTAAATCGAGGTCCCATCTGCCTACTCGGGGGAACATTAATGATTCCATGGCACTATTTGATAAGTGAAGGGATTTCTCCTGGTGTCCTGGCCAACAATCATCCCCCCAAATAACATTGGTCATTCATTTTATGGCTGTTTGTGGGGTGTTGCAATGCTCAAATTGGCTGTTGTGTTCACCTACCAAATATACAGTTGCTAAACTTTGCAGTAAATTCTGTGAAGTGCTTTGACATGCCCTCCTGACATAAAAGGTAATTTATCAAATGCAAGGATTCTTTATTTTGTTTTACTGATCTCAGCCATCCAGGTAATATTATTGCAGTTGGTATTAGTACTCTGATTGTAGAGAGGCTTACATCCAGCAAGATTCCCAACTGTGATTGGTATTCAATACAGTGTTTGGCTCCTCCACATGTCCTAATTGAATAGTCTGTCAGGTTGAGAGGGTAACGGGGAGCTTTCTACATGGGGGATGGAGGGAGAATCAACTCGGGCAACACATTTGCTTCCCAGTGGAGCTGTCTTCATGAATTTTTGTTGGTGGTTAATTTTTTTCCTTTGATTTGGGAATAAAGCATACCTTCTGGAGTACTCTTAATGCTTTGTGCTAGGTAAAGGAAATATTTTTTGGAGAAAAAAATACCTTTGTAAATTATATTGATTATCATGTTTTACCTTCTTCACTGAAGGCGAAAGTTCCGCTGTGCACAGCTGTGAGCTTGAAACTATTGACATATTCTATTTTGATCTCTCTAATTGCTACCCTTCTGATTTAATGAGACTGTATCTCTATTGTTGTGCTTTGTTATATCCAGTACAAGATTGGAAGGTGAAGAACACCCTCTCTTATTTGGTTTGAAATTTGTTTAATTCTGTGAAGTTGGTGACAAACTGAATTTAAACCAATGAATCTGAATGTGAAATACAGAGGTCAATGGTTGATTGAAGTTAAATTTATGAAATTTATGAAATTTAACTTGAGGTTAAACACTTAAAGTGTTGTTGCAAATGCAGTTGGTGCTCTGTGGAGTGGAGTGTGTGGAGAGAGCTATAGACATTTAAATAAGGCACTTGAAATCTAATTTAAAAACAATTTATCGTACACTTGAAATAGGATTTGCCAGTAAGGGCTTATTATAACAGTCACATTTTCACATGAGTACAACATTAGTTAAATCCACAAGTGGCCTTCTGTGAAAAATGACAATTGCGGTGGTTCTTAAATAAAATTGAATACCGACAAAATACAAGATCTTATTTTTGTTAACCTAAAAACTGACTGGAATAGATTTACTATATGTTGCATAAAACTAATTTGCTTACTGCCTCTTTTCCAAGTGCGCAGTACATTGAAAATGATTTTGTTTGCCTTGTCTATGAAAT